TCACTCATCCCATTCAGTGGAGCAGAAAACACCTAAAATCCAGCTGTTGGCAAGGAGACTCACTTCCCTACAGAGATCCCTAATCTTGATTCTCTCTGCCTGAAAGAAAGAATACATTCATTAGGGCTGAGTGTCTCCCTTTTTCATTAAATAATAGCTATGGGCCAGCTATTAGTGCTCTCATGAGTGAAAGAAATACAGTTGAAAAATTAGTCTCATTTTTGGACTTGGATCAGAAATGGGGCCAGGGCAAATAATTACAGGAAAGTCCCCTTTAGGGGTCATCTCCCCTCCTCATGCATGCACACACACAGACATACATACACACAGACGCGCACACACAAACAGTGGGGAGGGAGGAAGATTGGAGAAACAGGAGGGTAATGTTGCTTTCTGGAGGACTGAATAAAGAAAAATGGGTCCCATCTACTCGTATTGGCAGTTTTTTTAATTACCAGAGATTGGAATTTGCCATCTCTGGAGCTAGAGCTGGCTTGCAGATGCGTTTCGTTTGGACCACACAGTGTTTTTAAGATTTTCGAATGTGTTGCTACCATTTAACAAATTGAGAGGTTTTACACTGAAAGCTAGATTTTTGCTTCCAAGGTATTCCAGCGACACTGGGCCAGCCTTTTTAACAGGGAAGGGTGGGGCAGCCACTGTGTTTTTAAGTCGAGCAGCACTGCTCACCATGGCCCCCAATGACCTTCCTTCCCTTGTTTCCTCACCTGATGAGCATATGAGTTTGCAAGCTCTTGTTTGAAGTCAGATCACACTGGGCAATTAATGAACCCAAAGTGAGAGTTGACTCAATGTTTGCTAATGCAGAAGTGAACTGAGAGAAAGAATTTACAGAAAGTTGGAGAGATCAAAGGGAGGTTGTATAACTGAACGATGATGATGAGTATTGAGGCTCACTTTCTGAACAACTCTTATTCTAAGTGGATAAATTCAACATCAGAAAGGAACTCTTCATGGGAACCCAGCTCATACTGCCCCATTAGGTGACCTCTGCAGAGGATACCCCATCAGAACCTCTGTGCATTACGTCTGGGGTCCCTCCTCTCATTAGCAGTGAACTCAGGCTTAGAAGTTTTGTGGGAAGCAGATTCATTTTCTCATCTTATCCTCACTCCAACCCTAAAAGAGACAAAAATTCTGGCATTGAGTATTAGTGTTCTTCTACTAAGACAGATTTACCTCCACTCACTTTGATAAAAGAGCTCAGGATCTCCCAAGAAAACTGATTTTTCAGAGTTGCTCATTTGAATGGACAGCACATCCAAAGTTTGTGGTTTGGTTGAAAAGTGGTTTTTGTGTTCCTTATATTCATCCTTCAAGTTCATGGCCATCACTCATCACCACCTGAGAGTACTTTGTGCTCAGAGTAACTGAAAGGAAGCATAAATCCTGCTTGCTTTGAACACGACCCAGGATTCACCGTATGTTCCTGTCCTGGCCAATGCTAATCAGCTCTTCCCCCTCTTCTTCCCTCTTTCATGCCTGTAAATCAGGCTGCCCCAGTATTAGTCACCACAAAACAATAATTAGTAAGTCCAAGCTGCTACCTTCATAGATCACTCTGTCCCGGGCTCAGGCTAAGCCAAGAGGCTGGAGAAAGCTAACATTACACAAGTATGAGGTGTATCAGCAGAACCTTTATTACACAAAGCATATGAGTCTGAATATGTAAAACAAGACTCTGCTCCCTCCCCAGCTCTTGTAAGAACAGCTGTGATATGAGACCAAAGGAAAAGCTACTTACCTACCTTATGAAGTTTTCCTTTCCTGGACTCAAAAACTTATCTTTAGAACCCCAAGAATTTGAAAGTGTAATGGTTTCTTTATGGCATAATCTTGGGATTCAGATATTTTTAAAATACCATAACCCTCTTCACTGATGGGGCAGCAGAGGAAGGTGCCACTTTCTTTTATTAGGGTATGTTGTATTCCCCCAATAAAACCATAGTTTGTGCCTTTGCCAGCCATTTGTCCACCTGGAAAATAACCTTCCTACTCTGGCAGGGCACATGGTCAAGGGCATTGCTGCCTCCTCAAAAACAGTTTCCGGACCAGCTAGGAAATTCCTTTCCATGCACTGCTAACCAAATGCTGCCAGCCTGCCTGGAAGTGTTTCATTCATGTGTTCATGACTTTGGAGCTGCTAAAGTGCAAGTTGCTTTTTATTTTTTCCATCACACAGTGTTTCACCAATCTGAGTTTCCCAGATCAACCCCTTTGCTATTTTAAGCAAAACAATTCCAAGCCAACGCAGCTAATCAGTACAGCAAAACCTCACGAATTCAGGCAAGGAGTTTGAACTCCTCCAGTTGAGGACAAGCACTAGCAGTGTAAGTTGGAGGCCTGTTTTTTCATCTAGAAGATGAGGACACAGGGTTGTATAACTAGACTCCTTTTCTGCTAATATTAAAATCACATTTCATCTAATCTAAGATGCCATTGATTATAAGAGACAGCATGTTTTATATACCAGCAAAGAAGAGGACATTTTAAAATGTCCTATCAGTTAAATAATCACCAAACACCAGAGATATCCCCATGAAGCATAGATTGGTCACACCAGACTCTTGTGGCTTTGAAATCCATTCAGATGAATTTGGCGGCAGCTCCTGCCCTCGGTTGTGTTGCTTGGCATGAAATAGGCAATCCTTTTTGAGTGTTCTCAAAAACAAAATGTAACACCGCTTTGCATCCCCTTAGGGGTATCTTTCTAAGCAAATAAAACATTTGCTTGTCCCTTTGCAAGAAAATAAGAATTGTGATTCTGCTTCTAACAATAAATATGTGCTTCATCGATATCCAATTGCTCTGTTTTTGAGGCTTTCTATACTTTTTCATTCTATTACTGAATCATGATGTAATCTTTTCTAAAACATTCAAATGACAGTTAAACTCACTGTTGTAATACCAAACGTGGAGATGACTCAGTGGAAGTGACAAGAGGTATATATATAACTGGGTTTGCCATGCTGCGACGATGGCATCTGCATCATGGCTGCTGCCTGGCAACAGAAACCACACAACCCCATCAATCACACATGCATCCTGATCTCAGACATGTTAAAGGCTGAAAAGAGCATCTTCGGATGGATGAAATAGTCTAAGATGGACTTAGACTAAGATGCTCATTTCGTGCTTTAACATGTCTAAGAAATAGCTACAATCTCATCAGATGTGATTGTAGTCATGTAGTCATGATGACGTTAATGAATTTGCATTCTGGTACATTTGGCAAAAAGCACTACATTCCTGATAAGACTTAATGTTGGTCAAACCTCACAGCAATCCAGAAAGTATATGCAAATTGGGAAATTTAGCCAGGTAAATAAAATTTCCTCACATCACCCAGCTATGTAACTATCAGAGCAAGGATTTGGATCTAGACAATAGGACCTTCCATCCTGCCATTTCTGTGATTTTATGGGCAGTACAAGTCATGTGAGCATATCACTGTAGACTGACCTTTGATTTCATCTATTTTCAAAAATATGAAGCATCCCTCAAGTAGAATCTCAAAGGGTTATTTAAAATAGCTCAATCATACAGGGTTTTGCCTAATGAATTGATAAGAATTTATTTATTTATTTATTTTTTTGAGATGGAGTTTCGCTCTTGTTACCCAGGCTGGAGTGCAATGGCGCGATCTCGGCTCACCGCAACCTCCACCTCCCGGGTTCAGGCAA